AAAGTAAGATAAATGAGTATGTATGAAAACCAATAGATGTTCCAAGCCCTTGTGTGCCAGAACACCTTGACACACTTAGAAAGGAAATATCCCATGAGCAAAAGATAATCATTGCTTGTTGAAGTTTTCAAGGAGCCTTGTTGCATTGTTTTGCTTAATTAAACCATTTACAAAATCTCTCAAAGATATACCTCCAACAACTCGAGTTCCTGATATTGGCTCACTGCTGGCATGTGTTTGCTTCATATATTCATATCAAAACAAGCTCATACCAGAGGATTATGTCACACCAATACTTCAGGCATTCTTCTATTGCTCCTTAGAGAAGCTACCTCCTCGTATATCAGCACGTCCTGGTCCAAAAGGTGTAACGATGTCCTCTCATTTGATGATCACTCTTACTCATGCTCGATGGTTATTATCATTATTGGGCATCCATCAAGAGCTTCCTTTGCCTTCATCTGTGTTTCAACCATACATCGACATTCCTTTACATGGAACAGCTTTCAAATTAAAGCAGAAAGAAAAATTTCATGGCGATGATGCACTAGCAAAGGAATACTATGAGCTTCTTTTCAAAAATGATTGTCAAAGAACTGTTAAATGACCGTTAAAGACTGTTATAATCATTTCTTTTTGCTTCTCTCTCAGGTTTTTGCGAAAGAGTTGTTTTATAGAATCACAATATTTAAAAACCCTTGATTCCAAATAAACATTATGAAAATCAAATAATAACACTGCTACTAATAATAATGATTAATTGTGCTGGTTACACAGTTACACTTATTGTCTTCTTGTAATGTCTCTGGATGTTGTCTTTTGATCACAAAGTTAATTCTTAATAACTTGTCACATGTCACAGCATGAATAATTATTAACTTAGTTCTAAATTTAGAGAATGATGTCATCAAACGCTACCTGTTCTATTTTTATGCGAGGGACTTTCCATGTTACGTTTGTTTATCAGCTATAGGTTTTCTGAGTATAAAAAGGCTGAATGAAGTGCTTGAGACTCAGTTCAGTCTATAGAGAAGGATGGGAGTGAAAGGACTATTGAAGTACATTAGAAGTTACTCAACCGGCGTAAAACCAGAGCCACTCGTCCTCTCTACTGAAACGAAACGCAAAAGCAGAGATCCAACAGCAGCTAAGGCAATTCTTGTGTGTGACTTCATAGCAATAGTGTTCTGGCTATTGGACATAGTACACGATGCAAAGAAGTCCTCGGAGAGATATATTGCACTGTATGGTGCTGATTTCAAGGAATACACCTCAAGGCTCATCAGATTTGTGGAAATGCTGCGTCACATTGACATAGAACCTGTGTTCTTTTGGGATGGTCCAAGAGGATCGGGTAATGCATATAGGATGAAGTTATCTACTTGGGAGAAGAGGACAAAGGATTCATTGGAAGTCATACTTTCTCATTCACTCATAACTAAGTACGATGCAAAGACTGAAGTTAAATTTGGAAAAAGAATCAAGCAACCACTCGTCGTTACTGAGCTCGTGATGGCACTCCAAGAAGCAAAAGTTGAATTAATTACGTGCAAAGGAGAGGCTGATAATTTGATGGCGGAATACATGCGTGTACATGGTAACGTCTGTGGCATACTGACCAATGATACGGACATGATGCTGATGAACGGAGTAACTGCAATCCACCACAATTTCTTTGATCAAGAAGATGCTCTCAAGCTTTCTGATGATCATATACCAGCAAACTACAAGATTTCTGAAGTGCATTGTGGTGCTATTAGTCCAGGATACCTTGCAAGATGTCTTAAAATCAATGAAAAGTGTCTGCCAGCTCTCTCTATCCTCTGTGGTAATGATTTTACCAAAGATTTAAATGAAGAAATGGATATAAAGAATTCAGTATTTGGATACATAAACTATGACTATGTCAAGACTTATGAGTATATCAAAACTGTTCTGAAATGGATCAAGGACAATGAAGACGCTTGCATGGACCCAGTCTCATTTTTAGCTCTACGTGAGATTGCTGATGTATGTAAGAAGAAACCACGCTATGCTGCAGCTGTACATTACTCATATGCCTTTTATACACGCTCTCATCCTGCTGCAGTTATGCCATCAACATCCTCCAATTCAGTTAGCAGGGATAGTGATGATGAGAGTGAAGAGAGTGCAGAAGAAGAGTATGATGATACTACTGCAATACCTTATACCACTACAGACAGCATTCCCAAAACAGCTAGCAGTTCGGACAGCCTTGATGATGAAACAGAGGGGGCTTCTCTGCCTGATTCATTCTTTCCTCAATCTGATAGTGATTCTACTGTTGGTTCTGATGATAGTGACAATGCCGTTTCTCCTCTTTATGATTTTGTTGTTTTTGAAGTAAGCAGTCTTAGACTGGATCGAAAGTGTTTGCCAGTTGTGAAGAATGGTATACTGTGGAGGGATGAGATTGAACAGCTCGATGATGAATTGCCTTGCATTTATGATGTTCTTCAACCAGTTCGTATGATTATTTACAAGCTACTTTGCTGTGAAAGTGTTACCGAGTTTGGCCAAAGTAAGATAAATGAGTATGCACAAAAACAAATAAAGGTAAACCCATGTATGCCAGAAGACATTGACACACTCATTGAGGAATTGTCCCGTGAGCAAAAGATATCATTGCTTGTTGAAGTTTTCAAGGAGCCTTATCACATTGTTTTGCTTAAATCGTTTACAAAGTCTTTCAAAGATATACCTCCAACTAGTCGAGTTCCTGATATTGGCTCACTGCTGGCATGTGTTTGCTTCATATATTCATATCAAAACAAGCTCATACCAGAGGATTATGTCACACCAATACTTCAGGCATTCTTCTATTGCTCCATAGAGAAGCTACCTCCTCGTATATCAGCTCGTCCTGGTCCAAAAGGTGTAACGATGTCCTCTCATTTGATGATCACTCTTACTCATGCTCGATGGTTCTTATCATTATTGGGCATCCATCAAGAACTTCCTTTGCCTTCATCTGTGTTTCAACCATATGTCTACATACCTTTACATGGAACAGCTTTCAAATTGAAGGAGAAACAAAAATTTCATGGTGATGATGCACCAGCAAAGGAATATTATGAGCTTCTTTCCAAAAACAAAGTTTTCCAGGATTTCAAGAGGTGCATTTGCTCTGGCAGTGCCATTGATAATATTGGAGCTGTGTGTGTCCAGTATGCATGCACTAAAGATGCCATTAAGGAACTGTTAGACAAAAAAGCTCAATCCAGGAAAACAAGCAAATCAAGAAAGAAATAACTATTATAACTACCGTGTTGTCCTATATAAATTGTAAATGTATATTAGAGTTAAATCATTATTATAAATTTCAATATGAATGGACCGAATATTTGCAGGCATCCTCATGTGCATTAATTATTTTTATGTAGTTTTATTATTTTCCATTATGAAGATTGTGCAATAAAATTGCCAAGTTTTTGACACAACACTATAATCATTATTAATGACATGAACTGGACTCTAGTGTTCAACAGTCATTTGCAGGGTAGTGGGTTAGTAAATTTGTATACAATACACATGTACATGTACGAATAAAAATATATTGTAAATGATGTCATAATGATGCATGGGTGGATCCTTATTCTGAATCTGCAGTCTGCACTCTGCTGAAGGGAGCCAGATCTGTCTGGATACCAGTGGCGGATCTGGGTGCAAGTTGATGGTAGGG